GCTGTAGCTCAAGTGGTAGAGCGCTCGCCTTGAGCTGAAGAGCTGAGGGACAGCGCCCAGGCCCAGAGTTCAAGCCCCACGACAGACCAAAAAAAAAAAAAAAAGAAAAACAGATGAAATGTTTGGGAGTCTGGGGCGGGTGGCTACGTGGTAGGCCACTTGTCAGGTATGAGTTTGATTCCCAGTGCTGGAAAAATAAATAGCTTTATTGACACACACCAGTTATACACACACATTTATGGAGTATAGTGTGAGAAAGTGTGTATATATATATATATATGTACACACACACACACATATATATATGAAATGAAGTCAGTTGTTATGTCGAAAAAGGAACTTTACAACTTTGGTGGGGTGGGGGATGGGGGTGGAGAGGGGAAGGGATGGGAAGGGGAAACAAAGGAGGAGGCAACAATGCTTGATAAGAAATGTACTATCTTGCTCATGGAATTGTAACCCCTCTGTACGTATTTTCACAATAATAAATAAATAAAGTCAGAGTGATTAGACTTTCTATCTCCTTAAACATTTCTTTGTATTAGGAATGGAAAATTCTTTGGTTAAAGGTCAGCGATGACTAGCTACTGAGCAAGCCCTTAATCAGTTTATTTTTATGTCAGGCCAAGGTTAAAGGTTCAGGACTCATCAGTCTTCAGTCAGAAGGCCTATGCAGGGTCACACCACCCCCTGTAGACTGGAATTCCGACATCCTGTACAGTCACAGAAAGCCGTAAGGATAAGGCTGAGAGAAGCCCTGGACACTCGGACCGTCCCCAGAGCTGCAGTGCATAGACTCTGTTCTGAGTCCCCCACGTCCACCCGCACGCCTTGAAGTGGGCTCTGCGCAGCTGTGTCACCTGAGTAGGTCCAGGTAGCCGCCATGGTCAGGTTACCACCCAGCTCCAGCTCCAACCCCACAGGACCCCTCTGTAAGGATTTCACTTCCTCCCTGCACCCCATCCTGCATCCCTAACCCCTGGTAACCAGTAGTCCATCCGCTCTGCTGAATAACATATCCATGGATTTGGATAATCTATATAGCCTTTTGGGATGACTCCCCCCCCCACCCCACCCCCCACATAATTTCTTGGAGACTGGTCCCAGCGTAGTTTCCCAGTCTGTGGCTCACAAGCCACCTGTAGGTGCAGACAGCTTGGCTATTATGACTGACCTTGTTATGGACGTGTATGGACAGGTTTCTGTGTGTGATCTGGGCTGAGTGACCAGGAGTGACACTGCTGGTCATAGGGTGTTTGTGTGTCATTATATGTTCAAGTCATTGGTTTATTTTTTTCTTCCAGCCATAGGAATTGAACCCAGGGCCTTGAACATGCCAAACAAACACTGCAGGTGTCATTTTTAAAAAGAAAATACTGAGCTGTGTTGCGGTGTGGCTGTACCATTTCATGTGTCCAGCAACAATGTGTGAGTGTTTCTGTCTTCTGGCCAGTGTCAGTGGAATGGTCCTGAAGAATTCATCTTGTTCAGGAATGAGCAGAAGAGTTTCAGGTGTAATATGCACCCTGTAACAGATCACAGGCACACTGGGGAAGGTTGAGGCAAGGTTGTTTGTTTTAGTGGTGGTACTGGGGTTTGAACTCGGGGTATTGACTTGTTAGGCAGAAAGGGAGACTTTTTTCTTTCAGTACAGGTACTAGAGCTTGAACTCAGGGCCTGGGTGCTGTCCCTAAGCTTTCTTGCTCAAGATTAGTGCTCTACCACTTGAACCAAAGTTCCATTTCTAGCTTTTTGGTGAACTTGGAAATAAGACTCTCACAGACTTTGCTGCCTGGGCTGGCTTCTGACTTTGATTCTCAGATCTCAGCCTCCAGAGTAGCTAGGATTACAGGTGTGAACCACCAGTGCCCAGCTGCGGGTTATTATCAGAATACACTGGGTCAACATTGCTCTGGGAAAATTGTTACTTCTGCAAAAACTGAAAAGGCAAAAAGGTCCGAAATTTTAAAGAGGAAAGTAGTAGTAAGATATTGGGGGGGAGGGGGAGGATTGGGGAGGTTGGGAGGGAAGGGATGATAGGGAAAAAATAAAGGAGGAGGTAACAATGCTCGATAAGAAATGTACTCATTACCTTAGTTATGTAACTGTAACCCCTCTGTACAGTATTTTTACAATAAAAACATATTAAAAAATAAAGATATTGTGTGGTTTGCATAAATGATTTTGAAGCATAAACCTGGACTTAGAGAGATAGCCACATAAATAACTAGAGAGGATGTCAGGAAAGCCTTATCTAGAGATTTGGTTTGTTAGTTATCATCAGGTCCCATTTTCCTAATTTTTAGCTGAGTCTTGATTTCCCCCAGAGGAATTTGTCCTAGTATTATATGTAGTAATAGCAATAATACCACTTTGTAAAGCTAATGGATAATCAAGAGAAATTCTCTTATCCAACATTACCTTGGGGAGGGAATTTAATGTTGTTGACTGGTTATAGTCTGTATAGTTCCTCCTATTAGACACCTCTGACATAGATAAGTTTCTAGTCAGATGCGTAAAAGTCACACCAGGGTCCAAGGATCTGACACAGGAATGAAATCCAGAGTCCCAGTGGCCTGATCTCATTTGGATACTCCTTTTTTGGACTTCTTTTTTTTTTTTTTTCCAGTTGTGGGGTTTGAACTCAGGGGGCCTGGGTGCTGTCCCTGAGCCTCTTTGTGCTAATACTCTACCACTTGAGCCATAACGCCACTTCTGATTTTTTGAGTGGCTAATTGGAGATAAGAGTCTCATGGGGACTTTCCTGCCAGGGCTGGCTGCGAACTGCGATCCTCAGATCTCAGCCTCCTGAGTAGCTAGGATTACAGGCGTGAGCCACCGCCACTTGGTTTCCATTTTTATTTGGAGTTGATGTAAGTACTTCCATTTCA